GTCGTTCCCCAGGGCTGAGCAATGGGGAGGATCAAATTAAGTACAAGCCAACATGAAAAAGCAGAAAACTAGTAAAATATACAGTATATGTACAGTACAGGGCTATGTTTAGGGTGCATATGCAAACAGCCACAGGGAAGTAAAATGTTTCACCGCAAGCTTCCTTCTTAGAACTACAAGTTTGTCCTGTTGCCTCACTCTGCAGACAAACTTCTGTGGCTACAAAACTACACAAAATCTCTATTTCTGTAGATGCACAGGTGGACTGTGTGGTTATACCTGATGAAAGGTGCAGAGGTGCAGTAGGGGCTGTAGTTTTCCTGAGCTGAAGGAGTTGCTGTTGCAGAGCTGAGAGGCTTCTTATTTCTCAGACAACCTTCTAGTCTCCCCTTCAGTCTGGTCACCTCAGCCTGCAGCATCTGGACTGCATCACTAAAACAAAACACATTTACATAGAATTTTACATTTAGTACAGGTGTTTTGGTATTTCACCACCACATGTATTCAAGTCCAGAGAATGTGACCACACTTTAGTGCTGCAGTGTTGAAATTTCAAGTGACCAGACTGCCAGATTAATTAAAGCATCTATGCAGGTGTCAGTCCAAACGCACATACACACACACTCCTCGAAAAGTCAGACAACACCACACCATGCAGGAAACAATAGAGTACCTCCTAATATGAAACCACATTCAATAGCAGCCAGTTCTGTAATAAACATAAAAGAATATGATAGAAACATTAGGGATGGTTGAGGATTTCATGGAGTCTGAAGCTTGATATTTCAAGGCAAACCTCAAAGGGTTAGGTCAGTTTTATATTACTTTCATACAACTTCATGTCTGATTAAATGTAAAAATAAATAAATACATTTCTGCTAGACGCAGAGAGCAGGTGGACAAAGTTACTATAGGTCTGACTATGTATGTTCGGTTCTGGAACATTCTGCCTTCACACTTTGTACCTTCAAGGCTTGGCTTGTTCACTCTGAGTCCCAGAGGCCTCTGCAGGGAGACACAGACCTGGCCTTGTTTGCACAGCTATTGCCATGGCAGCTGCTGCAGCACATACTCACTTGTGATTTGCCACCTGACTGAAGCCCAGACCTCTGGAACAATCACCATGGTGATAACACACAGTGGAGGAGGAGCTTGAGTGGTAGCTGTGGAGGGAATCAGTGGAGTCAGGATATTGGTCACTCTGTCTGTCATCAGACACGGTGTGAGCTGCAGAAACAGGAGGAGGACAGTAAGCAAAATGCACAATGAAACTAGTGAATAAGAGCAAGAAGTAAGTGAATAACAGGACAACGGGCCTTAGTATTAAATAAGAAAAGGACACTGTTTTTAAGCTGCCATTAAGTGTTGGTAATGCAGAGAAGATGTGTTAAAACAATGGCAGTGTCAGTGGCTGAACAGGACTTAGAGACTCACTGCTATCACTCCCCAGCCTGATCTCACTGCTTCCACTGTTGGCCCTGGTTTCTTCTGTCTGGTTGACCCAGTGCTGTGGAGAGCAGAAGAAAGTGTGCTTCCTCTTCCTCTGCCCTGTTCTGCTTCTCCTCGGCTGCTCAGGGCTGAGCTGGGAGGCCCCTCTGGGCTCCTTAGTCGTGCAACTGTGTGGCGGTGATGAAGGACGAGACGGTACTGAGATTGGGCTTGTCTGAGGTTTCCCCGTGTTCCCCTCCTGATGGACTGAAACACTGCTGCACAATTGAAGAATATTCAAACACACAAAACACCTGATCAGAAATGGACTGATGGACAGATATTGTCTGCTGTAATGACATGAATGGAAACAAACAAACAAAAAAACAATATATATATATATAAATTGAATTTATCAATGACAATTTCACAAAAAACTGAAACGTTCTGAGTTTCATAAACACAGATGGTAAGGTGGAAGTGTTGCACTGAAGTCCATACAGTAGTACAGGTGTACCTAATAAAAGTGGCCAGTCAGTGTATGTGTAGATGTGGAGAAGTGCTGTTGGACTTCCTGACCTCTCTGGGGCCCTCTGGTGGAAGGGACTGGACACTGCTGCAGGAGTCAGGCGGCTGCTCTCTGAGCCAACAAACCCACTGTCTGTCTCTGGAGAGATTATCCCATCCTGGCCAGCACAACACAGAAAAACATTTTAAAAACACACTATATAACACACACACACACACACACACCCCACAGCTTTCTTAGTGGAATCAACACATCACTATGAATGTGTTTTTTTTTTAATGAAAAAACATTTTCACTCTTGTCTTAGGATATAAGAAGTTATATCAGGTGTAAAAGTGTTATACTGTTTAATTGCTACTTTATATTATATTTAGCCTTTTAAGGAAAATGAAAAAAAAAATACTTCAATATTTCTGAAAACTCAGAATCCTAGGATTAAAAGCATGCTAAGTTGTGAAGCTCCAGATTTGAGTCTTACAAACATGTGAAGTAAAACCTGAGGCCTAGACTACGCACATTTTAAGGACAGTGTCACTTAACTGTGCCCCATTAGTGAACAGAATTGATAAAAGACAGGCAGTTTACAATAGAAATCCACCTGAGAAAGCACTCTCATGCTTCCAGTTAGCAGTTTGGAGTTCCTCCTCTCTGATGCAGTGATCTCTCCTAGACTGCTCAAGCTGTTACTGTAGGACTTCCCCACCACTAAGCTCCTGCAGCTAGTGGGAGGATGAACAGGGAACGTGGTGGACTGGCTGGGGGCCCTGAGTGAAGTAGGACTGAACTTTCTGCTGTGAGCAGGAAGGGAGTCCTGATGTTTTAATTTGACAATCCTGTAATACAGAAGTGCAGTTAAGTCCAGTGAAGCTACTTAAATTAGTTTCTCATCAAAAACTGCTTTGTAGGTCTGTACGTATGTTGTTTGTATGTACTTATGTCTAATATAAGAAAAAAAAGAATTATATTTGGACAGGAGACACAGATACACCAAGGCCTCAGAGCTGCCAGTTATAAGAACAAACATTACCATGCATCTTTTCTGCTTCTCCAAAAACTGACCTCTGTGAGACACTTTCCTGGACTTCCATGTTTCCACTTCCTTGAGCCCGTCTCCTATGCCCCTCATCCCCAGGCTGCACGTTGGTTCCTAAAGCAGCAGAAAGGACAGCTCCTTCCCTCAGTCTATGGTCAAGCATTTTGGGAAGCTCCTTGTAGCTTTGGTAGCTAAACAGGAGGAGGAAAAATGTTCAGGGTGAATCATGAGAGCAGGCTACAGACCGAGTTCCAGATCTCCTAAAATAATCAAAAACATTATGACTAAGAATATCTCCGAACAATAAAAATCCTTCCACAACAATGATACTGATGGTCACATATTCAAGTGCTGTGGACATTTTTTCCAAAATGAACCATTAATTAATAAAAAACCAAAACAAAACCACTCACTGATCCACTGGCATGGCAAAGTCTTGTTCAACATGTCTGCATCTGCCAATCCCAGCTGTGTCACTCTCTTCACTGGCAAAGCTCACATCCACCTTTGCTCCCCCTCCAGGATCAACCAGCAACAGCACAGGCGGGCTCTGGAAGGAGTTACAGGAAGTGTGGCTGTGCTATCACTTTATAGCCAGAGGGTATTCTCCATAAACCACTGAAGGTCAAATTGTGTGAAATACAGCTACTTTTTGCTGAGTTTCATTTGTCTGTTTTAAGACTAGGGACGGTGTTAGAATCACTATGTAGAATAAACTGTTTTTAGTTTGACTCCGTTAATACGGTGACATATTTTTACTGACCAGGAAACAAATCAAACCACGACTAGTGATGACTTCCACATGAACAATTAAACATTAAATCATTTTACACCAGTACCAGTTCCAGTATTAAGGCTACAAATTATGACCAGTGTGCCAACCGTTTCACATTACTGTACATGTACAAATGTTAAACAGACTTTGTATAAAGATTCATGCAGTATCAGCAGTTGTACATCACTACAAATCTGTGGCATGTTTCGCCTTTCAGTTTCTTCAGGCTCACTCATAACCTGACCTACTGTGTCCAGGAACAACTCACTGTGTGAGCCACTGAATTGGTGTGATGAGTTTTTCCATTGAGGATATGGGGCATATGGGAAGACGGCACTTTGGACAGTGATATTTGTTCTTTAAAACATTTATTGACAACAGCTTCATATGCTCTTCAAGTTCAGCAGAAATCTTACATTTAAGAACTGTGTACAACAACAGCAGACATCCATCACTGAAATTCACCAGTGAATAAAGGACAGAGCAGATATATATATTTATGAATGATCAAATATCAGTGAATGAAAACAGAGAATGTCCGTTTTTCATAAAAAATAGCCATTATTTTTGCTAATATTACCCATAGACAATGTGTCAGACGGAAATGAATTTGAACAAGCGTCAGATTTTCAGTCTAAAACCAAGGAAATTCAAATGCTGTTTGCACAAGGCTACGGCTGCAAAGCCAGAACGTTACAGAGTGAAAAGTTCCTAGATCCTTACTAGCAAAGAGAATCTTTTATCAGAATAAATCATCACCTGTGGAGGAAGTTTTTGAGATGTGACCCGGGCTTGCAGCATCTGGCCCGTTCCTCAAAAGGGGCAAAAATATTGGTGATCTGCTGGTTTGGTCTACAGAACCCAGCAACATAAGTTGTCTCTCTCAGGAAATACAAATTCAGAAATATGGTGAGTGCACACATGCTTCCTTGCATATGCAGGCAAAAACAAACCACCACTGAGATGAGCTGCGCATAAATGAGCTATAATGGAGTATAACATTGCCAGAGACAACAGGGATTAAAAACCCAGTCCAGCTTCCACGCTCAACTTTGCAGCTTTTTCTAGAGCTATCCTCCTGGTCCATGAGTAAGAGTAATGGTGGTGGTACCTGTGTGTGAGTCAGTGTTTCTTCCTCCTCAGTGGGGACAGATGAATGGATGGGGTGAGGAGGTGGAGAGGGAGGACCCTCACAGGTGGGCTGCTCCTGTTGCATCTGTTCCACCTGCTCCCTCAGCTCATCCATATGCAGTCCACATTGGTAGATTAGCCCCTCCAGCTCCCTGTTACATACATATGCATGCGCAAGCATTTAGATATCTAGATACATGAGTATAAAATGTAAATAGCTTATTTATCTTGGTCATCACTCACCGTTCAGGGTCAAAGTGGCCAAATTTCGCCCCTTGCTGCTTCTGTAGGCGTTTGTTTGCGTCTCTTGCTAACAGGTAACCCCTTTCTAAAGAGTCGAGCTCCTCAGCAAGCTGAGAGAGACCCTGAAGGACAGAATTAGTCCATTACTTTAGATATGAAGTGGCCATTAGAAGCAATTCTCCTAAAGATTCTGACTTTAACTGGTTACCTTCATTTGTACAAAAGGCTTGAGCTTTTCTCTTTGTAAGAGATCCCTAAAGGTCTGCAGCTGAATGAAAAAACACATTTATCTCTGATTATGTTCCTTAATCATCGATCAAATCTGGAAGGATTTTCATTGTAGATAACAGTTACCTGCTGGAGGAGCCTGCCGGCCTGACTGTAGAGGATCCTGTCCAGCTCCTGTCCCAGCTGAAGGCCTGTTCAGACAGGTGCAGAGGAATGAAGAGTTATATGATGCAAGTTTTACAGAATGATACAGCATTAGCAGCAGCTGAATGACACCTTGACAATTTTATGTGATGGTATTTTGTTTTGTGACTGTGACAGCTGAGGAAAGGCTAATTCATTAACATGTGATATTACACATTGAATATAAAATGGTGAATGTGACAGCAAAGAAAGACACTGAAGAGGAGGAATATACTCTGAGGAGCGCTGTGTTCGTTCAAATGAAGAGAAGCTGAGCTGGTCTCTGCTTTCTGAACCTGAGGGAAGTTCAGCGTCATGAACTTTGAAGCATCATAGTTCAGTGCTGAGGATGCAGAGCTGGGCTTTGGAAAGTCAGAATACAGGTTCACCTGGCAGAAATGTGAGAAGCACAAACATGAATGAACATTCAGTGATCTTGTGTCATCAGAAAACCTGCTATTGGTTCAACTTCTATATTTGGTGATTGTTGCCAGTTTTACTGATTGTTATTCTAGAAATGTGACTGAGTCAGATTCCCGGCTTCTCTAGTCCACATGTCGAAGTGTCCCTGAACCCTAAGTTGTTCCCGATGATGTCACCGGTGTGTGAATGTGAGTGCTTGGGAGTGTGAATGGGCAAATAGTGTGAAAGCACTTTTAGTGTGCTGCAATGCATAGAAAAGCGCTATACAAGTATAAGAGCATTTACCATTCAGATTAACTACCTTGGCTTCCAGACGCAGACGATCAATGGTGTTCTCTGCCTCTGCGTACTTAGTCAGCAGTTTATTGTAGTCCTCCTGCAGCAAAAAAGAGAGAGAGAGATTGGAAATAGGAAAGTGAGAGAAAGGGAAGAGAAATAAAGAGCAAAAGAAGCATGTGGGGAAGAAAAGACAGAAGAGAGTAAAGTCAAGTAAAAAACGAGGAGGAAAAGAATGAGAAGAGATGGAAGATGCAGCAGGGTTTGGGTACCGTTTAGCAAAGTAGCAGGGATCAACATATGGGAACACCCTGCCTTTACACTTTTATGTACTTTTGATCTTAAGCTGTTTTTCATGGTTTGGGCCCCTTAGTCCCAGAAAAGAGAAATTCTAATGCTACAACATAAAATGCTATTTTAGACAATATTGTTCTGCAATGTGAAGTACATTTACAGAGTCACTCTGACAAGCTTGGCTTATCCACCCTGGAAGAGACATTCCTACATTGTTATTATTATTATTATTATTATTATATTACAGAGTGACTGAGAAAAAAGTCATTTCTGTTGTCTCAAGATATAAATACAACACAGTGACATACAAACAATTTTTTTAAATTTATTTTCACTTTTGGCTGGCCTTCCTGCTCAATACATGAGGTCTTCTTTGACTTCTTTTAAGAAATGTCTCTTAGGACATTTTAGGAAGTGTCCTCTATAACTGTAATGATCCTGTTCAAGGCCTGCACTGGGCCAAAGACAGGAAAGTCTGAAAGAGCACCCTAAGGTTTTTATTTATTTATTTATACACAGCAGAATTAGACTAGCCAGGATCCCCACTAAGCTGGCTAATTTTGAAAAAAACAAAACAGTCTTTACATGTGCTAACATCCTGCGCCCATACTAGCATTTTCAGGTCATTTTTTGTAAAGATCCCATCCAGACCAAAAGCTCCCAGTCTCTACTGGTACCTGTAACTGATCGAGCAGTGTGGCAGCCTGTTGCCGGCATCTGAACTCCTGAGGCACAGTGGAGTTGGGGGCACTATCTGGTGGGCTGTTACAGGCTGGTGGTGCAGGGGAGCCATCAGTGGTATCCAGTAAGACTTCTTTCACAATGTCAGCAGGAGATTTATAAACTAAAGGGGGCTCGCAGGAAATTATGGAAGAGTATTTGCTCTTGGGGGGCTTGTAACCACCTTTGGGGAAACGAACCCTGGGCTCCACCTTGGAGAAGTCTGGTGTGCGATAACTGAGAGGCGCTTTGCTGGAAACAATAAAGTTCACAGTTAATACTTTAAAAAACAATACAACAATGTGTGAAAACTGAAAAAACATGGACGAAAAAGTCACAACATAAAGAGAAAGCAAAATAAATGTGTTCAATGAACTTCCTTCACCTGGATTCATTCATTCCAGCAGCCTTAGTCCTGGCTCCGGGTGTCCCTGGCTCTCTGTCACGACTTTGCCTGGAGTTTAAGGACTCTGGCTTGATAGTGCTGTGGGAATGAGTCCTTGAATATGTTGCTTCAGGAGAGGGCTGCTTTGGATTCCTCAGTGACGGCTGCTTGTGATGCTTATCTGACTTGATTGATCCTTTTAAAGGCCCATTAGTGACTCCAGTATAACCATTTTCCATCACTTGTTCAGGATAGGGGGCTGCTGCTTGGAGCCCCTCCAGCTCCTCACTTTCAGATTTTCGTAGACAACGAGGACTGGACCTGCAGCTCATGTGACTGCTGTGTGATTCAGGTAAACTTTCTGTGAAGTCCATCTCTGGAAAGGTTTCAGCTTCAATCCCCTGAGCAGCAGCTAGTTCCTCAGGGGTAAAGTGGAGAAGGTGGGGGAAAGTGGGGTCACCTGAGACAGACTGGGATACTGGGTGATGATGGATGGAGACTACAGCAGGTTCTACAGGTGGGAGGAGAGCACCACAAGACTGTGTTGAGTTGATCTTTATATACCCTCCTTTGCTCATGCAGCTCTCAGCCAAGCCTGTTATAGTTCCAAGCTCTCCTGATGTGCTCTTCTGTTCATTTTTATTTCTTTTACCGTCACTCCTCTTCACTTCGTCTCCATCTTCCTCATCCTCTGTCATGTCCAAGTATTTGTCATTCTCAGGGAGGTGCTCTTTCTTCCTCTTCACCTCCTCATTCACTGTCCGTGATTTTAAGCTATCCATCATATCATTACCTGCAAAAGAGGGTATAAAGAACTGGGAAGATTATTTCAAAATACAGAGGCATGTATTTTCTCACATACCAGAGGCTCATCCAGTTTTAAAGGACCATGCTATTGTGTGCTTTAGTCCTGTAAATACAGGTACTGTGTATTTGACATTTTACAAAACATTTTCAAATGCATGCATTGCAGCTGTACATTATTGGATTTTCATTCTGTGCTCAGTGTGAGAGTTGTAATCTATTACAGTTATGAACAAGGCTGCATTCGTTTATATCAAAGTTATATCATTGGTGCATGTACACCAATGCCAGATAAGTGCAGATTAACTGGTTGGTTGACAAAATTATAATCTGTACATATATTGAAAAAAATATTTTTCCTATTTCAAATTTCTCAGTTGTCAAATATTGGGCAAATCTGATCGCAAATTCAAAATGATAAGCACCAAAGTACTGGCTTGTAAAATGGCTAACTGAAATCTATAGTACAAGTAATTTGTAGTCAATGGGCTAAAACATGTAATGCCAGTAGTATAGTGCATTATCTCAGAAGTAGCCGTTGCTATGAAAGACAAGTCAAGGACCAGATTTACAGATCTTACATGGTGACATTATTTGTAGATCCTCTACAGACAGATGTTCAGTCCAGTTGTAACTGAGCTCCTCGGGTGGTTTATCCCTCTTATGCCCACTGAAGCCTGCCTGCTCTGGGGTCAGACATCTAGGACACCAGGCTGGACTATATTCTGCATCTACACAAGTGCTCCCCAGTTCCACATTTTCCAGTGTCTCTGACAGTCCAATGATACCATTCTCATCCATCTGGTTGACAAAGTCATCCTCTGCCTGTTCTCTATCCTCATCCTCCCACACTTCCTCAGACATTACAGAGCTGGTAGGTGAAGTGCGGGCTGGGGCAGGGGTCCAGAACAGAACCCCTGCTTTGGTGTTTTTTCTCATCTCCATTCACCTTTAACCAATTGTAGCCTCAGTTACAGTTTCAGCCAGGCACAGGAAGCCTGTGCATCTTGTCTTGTTGATGTGGCTCTGCAGTGAGGTCCACTTTCAAGGTCATGGCTACAGATGTTTACAGAGTGCAGGTCATGCTAGTAAGCTGGTGACAGTACAGAGGTACAGCTGAAAAGGATTTATCCTGAGGAAGAGGAGATGTCTTTGGATGCAGTTCCTGAAACACAACATATAGGCAGCTGTTTAGCATCAACAAACAATCTGAAGCATTAAACTGTCAGCCAGAGGTCTTCAGAGGAAATCAACTGAATCACATGTGCAAGGACTTAATAAGAAGAAAATACTTATAGTGCATAATGAAATATACCACAGTCCAGCACACTATTAGAGCATCATTAACTGTAAATCTAGCATTAAAAGCGATAAACTGTGTTGTAATGCTTGGTGTTTATTCAATCAGTGGATTTTAAACTACTGGTCAGAAAAACAAGAAATCACCTTGGGCATTTTCCACACTTTGTTTGTTTTTTGTAGTCCAAATGATTTAGCAGTTAATCAAGAAAACAATCACCAAACAAACTGATAATGGAAATAAAAGCTAGTTGTAGCCCTGCAGCAGACAGCCTAACAGAAACTTGCTGAATAGCCATATTATTTAGTCTATCCACTTAAAAAAAATATCAAAAACAACAGCAACCCAGTGGACTGTCCTCATGTCTAAAACTATTTTAATGGAATGATTTATGAGCCGAGACAGGTCTGGCTGCACTCTCAGGCATCTATAATAAATTAACAACTATTGTGATAATTGTTTAGAGCATTGTGACGGCATGTCTCACCACTGGCAGAAGTTTTACAAACCAGTCAGTCGATTAATGGGGAAAGTAACCAGCAGGTTGATCCCTAATAAAAATAACCAGTAGTTGCACTTGGATACAAACTAGTCCAGCAGAGCTCCACCTCAACCAGCTACAACAGTCAAGTCAGTGCATGAGTGACAGGCTGGTAATGTTTTCTGCATTGAGTAGCCTACTCATACTTTAAGCACATTAGTGTGTTAATACTTACTTTTACTTAATATTAATGCAGGACTTTTTCTTGCAACAGAATAGGCTACCTCCATAGTGTGATATTAGTACTTTTACTTAAGTAAGGAGGGGGTGAATACTTCCTCTACTACTGTTGTTAACATGCTTTAGTTATATGCTTTTTAAAAAACTCATCTTTATAAACCATTTATTCTTTAGGGTCAGTCTAGTCCTGCAGTGTCTGTCTTAGACCACTAGCTCTCAATGGCAAAAACAGTCCCCCAGGTATTTGCCTGAAGCTGCAGATCTCACCTTGGCAGCTACAAAACATGAACTGGAGCTGCGCTTTGAGCATCTGCTAGAAAACAACAACTGCGACAACACTTAACATACTGTGGTACAGCTATTCTGCCAGCACTAAGAGAAAACCTGGTTATAACCTCTAACCAAATTCTCAAATGTTATCAAAAGACATCAATCCCCATCTACTGTATACATATTTACACTTTAAGAGACATGCTTCAGCTTCACACAGTGCAACAAGCATTATCAGAGAAAACACGCTGTTAGCTTAATGTAAAGACATTAGAATTTACCTCAAGAAGACTGTCTGCTGCTTCTCAGTGTGTTTCTTATCCAACACACAGACACACCCATCACACCCATTTGCTCAGAAGCCCAGACACTCTTACAGTACATGCAATCACTGTCAGAAACAAACACAAGGCTCAGTGTGTAGGACTAATAAACTCCCACCATGCTCCTCTACAGTACAGTCTTTTCATACACAAATCAGCAGAGATTCCCTGCTGCATAGCAAACTTGCCATGCATTTAAAGTAGACCATAAGGAATGAGTTCACACAACTTTGCAGATACTGGAGAGGTAGATTTTAGAAAAAACAATAACCAGAATAGAATGAACTAGAACTCACAATGTAATTATGGCGTTATACCTTCGTAATCAAAGTGTTTGTCATATGTACAGTAAGGAAACATGTTTCCCTGCACAATCCTTCTTCCTCTGCCAACACAGGAATTTCCTGGCACAAGACAAGGAATCAACTCTAATGCTTCTCTTTTGCTAAAATATTGAAGGCAGGACTATTATTTGAGTAATTTTGCCTGTGGTATTTTTGGATCTACTGAAGTAAGGGACGTGATTATGTCTTCTATCGCTGCCTGCATCCAGTGGTGACGGTTATACCACCTCTTACAGTTTCAGTTATGGATGGCAACCTGTTTCTGCCGTACCACAAATGTTTACAGGATAAGTGGCCAACAGTATCTAGATATAGAATTTATGGATTTATGCGTTTTTCTGTCCAAATCCGACCCATGCCCGAGAGTGTGGTGTCGGAACCTGACAAGCTTATAGTAAATAATGTCCGAACCCGACCCAGTTTACTTTGTACAGTGTTTTTCCCTGTATCATTAAACAAAGCATACATCTGAATGCTACAGCCATCCAGCCTAAAGTTTGACCTATGAATCTGAACCCAAACATAATTTCTGATTTGCTGTCCAAACCCAGCCCGAACCCTTGGGTAACCAACGGGTTCCATCAGGCTCAGTTGGGGTATCCACACTCTATATAGAATACATACAAAGAGCAGCACAGAGCAATAAACACAGTGAATTTACAGACATTTCCAAATGTAAAACTTTTTCTAGGTTTTCCACAGCTGTTGGGTTTCTCTCTGGTAAAAATAAAACAAACAAAATCTCACCTGTTGCTCTGCTCATGCTCCTTGTTCATTTCTGAGGAATCTAGAGATTTATCTTAGCTGCCAGATTGGGGGGTGGAGTGTTAAGCTGCTGTATACTCCTTAGAGGGGACTTCACTGATTGTAAACAGACAGGGATCATCAGTATACATCCAGGACAGGAGGCTTACACGGCTTCCCACAGACAGACAGCAGGGCTTTAATCACCTGACTGTCAGATGCAGGACAGACAGGTGGAGATACAGAGAAAACAAGAGGGGAAAGGAGTGACAGAATGAGAGAAAGAGAGAGAGACAGAGAGGATAGGAGAGAATGCCTGCAAGCTGCTGCTGTCATTCCCAGTCCCACCAAACCTGTCACAGAACCACTCAGCTCGGCCTCCAGGGGCACTGCATTAATTTTCAAGGGCGACACTGGCTGAATTTTGAGCACAGAGAACAGAAATGTAGCTGGAGCTGCCCCACAGGGTGGCAGAGCGACAGCGAGCAGCTTGGGACGACCTAGAAACCAGTTAGCTAATCTCCTTACAAGGCACAGGGAGAGCTGAGGACATATTGTGCAGAGGGGAATGGTGAAGAAAGTGAATAAATAACGCTGTGCAATTATATAAAACAGTCCTAAAATTATTAGCTGACAAATCAACTATAGAATATAATCAACAATTTCAGTGATCAAGTAAATTTTTAGTGTGTGGATTCTACTTTATTCAATCCGTTTCGGCCAGGGAGCTAACGCTAGCTAACAGCCGTCTGCAGACATCAGGCTGATGGCAAACAAACAGTGCAGATGACTCAGTGATTCACTCAAGTTGATGTCTGCAAAAGTTTGCATCTCCTTACTTGGAAATGGCAAAAAGAGTAAAAGAGTTTTTCCTCATCAATATAATATTTAATGCACATTCATTTGGTACAACTGTTCCTTCATCAAGCGTCAGGGAGTATATAAAAAGAAAGTTACAGTAAAATAATGAAAATCATCTCAGTGTGGTGTCAGGCCGAAAACTAAAAATGAAGAGACAGTGCAAGACTTTGATCTAAAGCACAAAGACAACTCAGGAATGATTTAAAAAGAAAAAGGTGAATGTTTTCCCATGGCTTCCCAGTCTCCATACTTAAAACATCATTGAAAACCTGTGGATCGAATTGAAGAGGGCTGTACATAGTAGACAACCAGGAAATCTGGTAAGCTTGGAACAAGTATGCCATGAAGAATGGGATCAAATTAAACCTGAAGGATCCAAATGCTGCTCGGAGGGTACCCAAAAAGGATGGAGGAGATTAGGGAGGACGAATGAACTATTAGAGAAGATTTCACAAACGAGGCTGCAAACTTTTACACTGAGATGATTTTCATTATTTTACTGTAACTTTTTTATATGATCCCTATCCATCTGTGTTGCTTCTGTTGATGAAGGAACAGTTGTACTAGCTTAATGTGCGTTAAATATTATGTTGAGAAAAAAAATTTGCTTTACTGTTTTTCCATTTCAAAGCAAGGGGTTGGAAACCTTTGCACTCAACTGTAATTCCTTCATCCATAACATTAAAACCAGGAAATGCAATTTAGCCTATTATGTGCTCTTTACCAAATATTATGCACCAGGAAACAAGTGTTGCTCATTTGTTTAATGTAGAAAACATGTATTTCCCGAGATTCTGAGAAGCACTTTATTAAGCATTATCTGATGCAAATTAATGATGATGAATTGACCTGAATCAAAATTCATCACAGACTGAAATGTGTCTTTATCACAGCATTTTGAAAAGCTGTCAGGTATGGAAAGTTGGCAGTGAATGGTGTGATACTGTTTTGTTTGATCAAATATTTTCTGACTGGAACATTTTGATGATTTTAGACAGTGTTTCACTTAAACACTGTTCTCAAATGCAATGTTTAATTTTCTTCTTAACACAAAGCAGATGCAGAACAGTGTTTCACTTAAACACTGTTCTGCATTTGGCTTAGTTTGCTCAATGGAAGCAAAGTGTTTTGAAGAATATCCTGAATATCCTCTCAGTGAGGCACTGAAAAAAAAATTATTTCTCTGTCAGTACCAAAACTCAAGTAGAAAAGCTAAAATTGATATCAAGTATCATCCATCAAGTACCGATGCATAAATAGGACTTACCCTCAACCCTACTGCAGTGAGATGGCTTTACAAAACACTTCAACTTTGGCTACAGACAGTAAGCTCTCTACAGTGATATTTGCTGGTAATTACACATCCATCAGAGATCACACTGCATTCTGTAATGCACCATAGCCAGTTTGAGCTGCGTCAGTGCACAGACATGTGCAAACACTTTCTCTTGCCCTGGAAGCCATGTGAAGTCTGCAGTCTCTGTCTGATCCACAGTTTCATTAGAGATGAGAGGAGAAGCTGCAGCAACAACAAGAAGCTCCGGTAACATCAACTCAAGATTAACTCAACAAACACATGCTCGACAACCAACATCTGTTAACCAAGTCCAGTCAGTAACACTGGTGGGCTGAGATCACAGAGAGAAGAAAAAACTATAAGTTTTGCTTTTTGAGAATAATTCACACCAGAAAATCAAAATAAAACTGCTGATGTTAGAAAACAACGTTACATCAAGAGCACTGCAAAAACAAACCTTATCTTACAGACAGAGGTATTAGTTCGTCGATTCAGCAAACAGGACTTTCACATGCAGACTTCACAGCAACAGAGTCGGTTGCCTTGAAAACCGCAAAACTACAGAGACAAGACCCACCCCGGTGTCACCATGGCACACACCCCACAACAAACCACCTCCGACAGTACGCACATTTAGGTTGCTTAAAACACACCCAAGAATACATATTCGTTAAACAAGTGAATGTAACATTGTATTTGTCTTTTAGTAACCACGGAGTTAGAGAAAACGGGTGGTAACTGAAAGCTAACGTTAGCTATTATACTCTGTGCCCAATTCAAAAGTTGGTCTTCGTTACTATCACCTACCCCTAATTTAGCGTACATATAAAAACAACAGCAAACCAACCACATAAACACTACTTTGAGCAATGTAATGTTCCTACCTTAATTTTGGGCGCGTTGCACAAATGAATTTATCCCAACCAAGCCGCAGTCCCTGATAATTATTAAGATAATTATCGACCTTCTGAAATCTGGCACTGATTTAGCTGGTAGGAGTTAGTTACCCGAGGCTAACTACTATGGGGACCTTACAGCCCTGGGTTAAGTCTTTCGGGCATCGTTAACTGCCAACAAGCAGCAATTAAATAATGTCTTTCTCCAGACAGTGTTACAAAACTAATGCTAAACGTTTATCAGCTTAGGCTAGAAATAATAATTAGTTTTGTTGAGGATGTTGTGGGTGCTCTTACCTGGTAGGCTAAATTTAGGACAAAATACCCCACGGAGAGCTTGAAGTCCAAGACTGGATAGTGATTGGTTATGAGGCTGCTCAGGGGCGGGACTTAGCCCAGATTGCGTTTAGGGAATGCGGTTCAAAGAAGTGGTCACAAGATGACGCCATTTCACAACATTTCTGTATCATCCAAAAGTAAGATGATTTTCTCCCTGTGTGAGAAAGTAAAAATAAATTTGTTAATTCTAAATAAATAAATAAATTATAATTATACAAAACGGCCAAAGGTTCAAATATTTTTGATTATGGCTTTTATCAGTAGTTCTAAAATATACATTTAAAATCATGATTAAAAATGCATTTAAATGGTGAAACTGCAAAAACTATCATTTGCCCTTTGCTGGCTCATATCCACTGTCATCTTCTGAAGCAGAACATAGATATGGCCAGAAGTAATGGCACACCCATGCGGGCCAAAATGACAATCATAAAAGTGATGCAAGAGGTGAAAAGACCAGAAGTGAACTGTAATTGTATTAGTACATTTATTTTAAAAAGTCACCCTGAAAAATAAGGCTTACCTATCCTGATAAGCTAATTTATACAAAATTGCTTTACAGTAACATTTATGTTGTCCCAAGGTTAGTGATTATTGGCTCTGTGAAGCTGGATTAAGAATACTTAATCCATGTAGCATACTGTAGTTTATAATAACTCCAACTTCTCCCATGCTGTTTTTGTATACTGCCAGTAGGGTCTGAGAGGCTCAACTGAAAGAAACAGATAACATTAGAGACTGATATCAATCAGCTGTCACATATCTCAGGACTTTCCTACAACAATCTGTTTCATTCAAATGTTACCTTCACAAAAGGAAAACAGTATTCAGCCTCGGTAAGAAGCAAGTTAAACAACATTAGCTTGCTATTGCACATTAATAGAGAGATGGCTGACTAGCACTGAATCAGACTATCATAGACAGATGTACTTGTCTGTGTGTTCATTGCTTTCAAGAAAATAAGACAGAGCAACAGACCCTGTTGCATCACATAAGATTTGACAGACAGGATTTGATTGTGACCTATACCCTGGATACTGCATGCAGGCATAGGTTCCTTCAGTTCCCATGTGAACCTGTTCAAGACAAAGAGTTTCCTTACAGTGTATTCTATTTACAATAGCAAAGCTGTGTTTTTCAATTAAATGATAATCACTTTTATTGGCCACGTATGTTACACACAAAGAATTTGTCTCCAGTACAGAACTGAAGCAGCCATCCGTGGCACCAGCTCACATACCACTGATGGCACGCTGTCCCTAGCCACCAGGGGCAACTTGTGGTTCACTGTCTTGCCCAAGGACACTTCAAGATGTGGACTGGGGAGAATGGGAATCGAACCACGACCTTTGGGTTAGGAGAAGACCACTCAACCTCCTGAGCCACTGCTGCCCCATAAGCAAATAATCAAATGAATGTATTGTTGAACTTAACCACATCTGTTGTATTCGGAGTAATTGCATTTTATTGCTACTTTTGGCAATAGAAGAAAATTTAAAAACAGCAGTAGGAGAATTTTGAACTGAAATGTATTAATAAAAAGCCTGCATCAATGACAACTCACCTACACTGTCATGCCACTGTCGCTGACAAAAACTCCAAAATAACAACAGACAGCTTGCTAGTTTTTGTGCAGTTATCTTTATTGAAAAATTAAACACACTTTCTGTATAAATAGTATGTCAATGTACAACACTTTTTGCAGGAAGCAGGCAAAAAGACAGATAGACTGACAGGAAAACAAAAGCAAGCTGAAGAGTGTTACAGAATGGGAAAAGAACCAAAATTAAGTTGTGCAGCTAAAAAAAAAACACTAAGAGAAACAAATAAACTTAGAGTCAACAGGTGATGTTGGTTGATTTGAGTCAGACCTTTTCAGGGAAGCACGGGTGGTAGGGTGTGGAGTTGGGGGGCAAACCGTTGCACCTTGCTAATGCCTGAGCTGTCAATTCACATGTTAGACAAAGGCCAGCACCTCTCTGTCTGGGAATCTGGTTAATAAGACTGTCAGCAGTTCCCCCTGTCATTCCTCCCTTCTGGACAGCCTTTTAAAAACAGATCAAAAAGCTACTATGGCCTTGTGTCTAGAAGACCGGGTCATTATGGAGTTAAGTCATAAAAAGTTTCTGTGACAAGGAGGAAGAGGAAAAACTCTGCTGTTGTATGCCTTAGAAAAGTCAAAATAAATAAATGTAGGGGTCATATAATAATGGCTGTTTCATTTCCTGAAGATTACTTAGTTCATTAGAACATTCATCAGTTTTCACATTTGACTTTCTCTCTGACATGTTTATCTACATTTCACCTGAGCAGGGTAGAGTCAGCAGCACAGAGGAGGTTCAGTTTAAGGGCTCTGGTGGACATGTACTGTAGCTGTAGCAATGACTCACAAGTCAGTGGAAAGGGGTTCCTTCAGTAGATGTGACATTAACACAATGATAAAATAAATAAGAAAATGACAACTGTAACTGTGCCCTCCATTATTTGTCACATTTTGTTGCAATCCAATGAAAACCATACGTATATCTCCAAAATGACACATTAAGATAGATGCGATACTTTAGCGAATCGCCACTATGGTTGGGTATCAGGACAGATCAAAATGTGTCCCTAGCATCGGTCAGATCTGTACTTTTCTTCACTTATTCTTTTATCAAATGTTTTAAATTCAAATAGTAGGTTCTTCAGTTTAAGACTTTTAGCCAAGTTCTTGTGTTTAGACAACATTGTTTTCTTCATGTGTTAAAGAATAAAGTTATTCTGTATTATAGTATTGTCAACAAATCCCATAAAATGACCAACAATTAATGTGTCCTACTAACAGGTACTCTCTGTGTATCCAAAATTTGACATGTCTTAATCCTAACTGTTGTCCAGAAATGATTAAAACACATGAATGACCCACTGCATGACATGTTCCTTCACTTCTATGAACCCACGGTAGTTTATTTTGAATCTGTCCCACACCTGGTGCTCTAAAACCTTCAGGAGAGCACCAAATGTATGTTAATCCGCAGCTAAAATTAGTGCCTAATAAAGGCACTATTTTTTAAAATGTATTAAAAACTACAGTGCTCAGCTGTTTGGGGAATTTTTTTTAAATGAAACGTTATATAATTTTTGTTTGGTTTAAAAGATTTACACCATTATTAGGAACTAATGTGTCCAGGGCAGAGCAGGACTGAGAGCAGTCAGAAAGTACTAAGAAATGTACTGTTGGTTTTAGTCTTTTATGGCATTTATTGACAATATGAAATATATAGTACAACACCAGTCTTTATTAACTGATAAATGAAACTTTTTTTGTAGAAAAACGTTTTTATATTCCTCAAGGTATGGCAGTAAGTGTTCTTTTGGTATTGTTATTGAAACTGAAATATTGCATGGGGCATTGCATCAAATATTGAAAATGTTCAAGCAATACACTCCTCTGTGTGTGGTAATGTATTTTTGAGTTGATGCAAAAGGTTTATAAAAGGGTTTTATTAGCCTCAGAATCTGGAACACTCCCCCAGCGCATAAAGAAAAAGCTTGTCCTTCAGTCTATTTGAAAGACCTTAAAACCTAAATCTAATTTGGAGATACTGTATGTTTTCACTGGGCAGATTTACTGTTTTTATTATTTTCCATCAAGAATTTGGCCACTGGAGTGTGGGGCGAACAACATTCTCTTCCTCTCTTCTCTCTCCAGTGTGAAGTTTAAATGCTTAACTCCGACAAAGTCTAACAGAAGCCTTCGTCTGTGTGACTGTGACTCTTTCCAGATTAGACTGTTTAACGGAGTAATTTCACTGAGAGGACAAACTACAGCTCCCATCTGTCTGCATGTCTCTCTCTTCCTATCTGTCT